GCTGGAACACCCCGCTTCCCGGGGCTGCAGTCTACCTCGGGCATCGTCCCCCACGGTGGACAGCCCAGGTTCGGCCCGCGGCACCCAGGGCCCCATCCTGGGGTGTGACCGGCAGGTGTAGACAGCCGCCCACCGTCCAGCTGATGACCCAAGGCCAGAACCAGCTGAAAATTTAGTGGAAAGTGGGTGAAGCCAACGACGGCCCATCCATCCTGCTTTACTGCAGGTTCTTCCTGCAGTAAAGGTATCACAGAATGTAAACACCGGTAACAACCTCCTACCCACGGAGGAGCACCGCAGAACAGAATGGAGCCGTCATTCAGAAAACACAGAATGTGTTATAAAACACATTATCTTATAAAAGATCTTATAAAAGATCTCCTCCTTATAAAAGCAGGAGATAAAATGGAGAAGAATTTGGAAAATCATATTCCTTCCCTAGACAATGCCAGATCAACCGCAGAAGCAAGGCAAGAAAGCCATGGAAGAGAGCAGGCTAAGATGAAAGCAAAAGTGTTGCCAGGGAGGTGGCTGGGGTAAGGCAGTCTAAGAACTAAACATGCAGTGACGTCGCGAAACGTGTACTTGAGACGACGGTAAAGAGCGTCAGTGCTGGGAAAAGACCCACGGAAGGAGCTCTCCCCAAAGTAGAAGCAGAGGACCAGAGAGTTAAGATGATGGTGGTGGTGGTGAGGGGACGGATACACTCTCCGAGGACAGAGAGGGAACTTCAGCATTATTGGTCTTCCTTCAACCTAAAGAGAATTAGAAGAGAAATTACCAAAAACAGAAGAAAAATTTTCTAAGCCAAAAAAAAAAAAAAAAAGGGTGGGATGTGTGTGTGACTGTGGATTGAAAAATTAAGCATGTTACGTTTGAGATTGGGAGAAAGAGATCACAACCAGACAACTGGGTGACTTTTTAAAATATAAGTACAATGTGTCCATCCCCTCAGCCTCCCCATCTCTTAGGTACCAATGAGAACAGATTATTCTTTAATGATGATTCCTTAAGAATCATCCATACCCTCACTGCCTGGAAACAGAACCTTGTCTGAACCTTCTAGGATATTCCCTTTCTCATGTCTGGGGTAATCCCTGTGCCAGTCTTGGTCCTTGCTGGCACTACTGCCATTGCTTGTCTCATCCCCAGAACCATAGAAGACAGCCCAGGCCAGCTACTGTGGGGCCCGTGGCTCCAGGTCACTGATGTTCCTTGGGCAGCTGTAGCCACTGTCCTCTTTCTTTCCGGTACATCATTCTCCTTGATGCTGCCCTAGCCTTAGCATAGTGGAATAATGCTTGTATTCAGGGAAGATCTCTGGTGGCTACCAGGCATGATATCTTTCAGAGCCTAAGAATCGGTCCCAAGTCCCACATTTGTGGTCCCCTCAGAGAACCACTTGCCTTTTTAGCTCGTGATCTGACACCCAGCAGTCAAGCCTCTTTCCTGTAATGATGGGCCAGTGGCATGTTCTTCACCAAATCTACCCCCAGCCACCCTCAAGGATGTTGCCTTCCCCTGGGACCTCAAAGAGGCCCATCGTTACAGGAAAGAGGCTTAGAGCGTTCAGGGTCTGTTCACATTTGACATCTATATTGCTCTTTTGTGCTTGTGTGCTTGTCTGGACACATGAGCGGTATCACCTCTACTGGTTAGGTTGTTACTTCACCCTGCAGATCTTTCGTGTTAGATCTTTCCAGGAAGAAAGCTGCTCCCAGGCATGTAGGCTGGGAGTGGGAGCTCAGCCCTGGCAGACAGTGACTCCCCTCCACATCTCACTCCAGACATCACCCTTTGCCCCCTGTAGATGGCCACTGGCTTTCTGTTCCAGGGCATCCTGTATCTCTATATGTTCTCAGGCAAGGCCACCCCACGTGAGGCCTTAAAAAAAAAAAAAAAAACTTAAAAAAAATTCCTGTAAGCATCCAGGCAGATTTTCTTTTCTAGGGTGTAAAAGTGATCACTCTCTATGCAGATTTCTTTGAAATACTGAATTCCAGAGTGGAACAATATAGAGAGTTGATCCAGTAATCTCACAGTCATGAAGACATCTTTTATGAAAGAAGCCAAAGGTAATTCTCTGATAGGCAACAGCTGTAAAAAGATTACGCTCCTATATCCCTCTTTAAAAATACACAAATATACATACACATACACTTATCAGCTATACAAAGGAAAAAGCTAAAAGAAGCATAAAAATATATTTTTTTTTCCTCCCAAGATTTTATTTAAATTCCAGATAGTTAACATATAGTATAGTGTTGGTTTCAGGAGTAGAATTTAGTGATTCATCACTTACCTATAACACCCAGTGCTCATCCTAATACTACTCTCCTTAATGCCCCTTACCCATTTCACCCATCCCCCCGTCCCCCCTCCCCTCCAGCAACCCCCAGTTTGTTCCCTATAGTTACGAGTCTCTTATGGTTTGCCTCCCTCTCTGTTTCTCTTATTTTTCTTTCCCTTCCCCTACGTTCATCTGTTTTGTTTCTTCAGTTCCACACAGGAGTGAAATCATACAGTATTTGTCTTTTCTTGTAACTTATTTTGCTTAGCATAAGCGAAATGGAACCCTCTAGTTCCATCCATGTTGTTGCAAATGGCAAGATTTCATTCTTTTTAATGGCTGGGTAATATTCCAGTGTGTGTGTGTGTGTGTGTGTGTGTAAGCTGCTGTACGTATGGGGTTGGACCTAGTTTCCCCTTCTCCATGTGCTGGGGTCTGCACAATAATTAACACTTGAAATCCCACTTATGGAAAGTAAGTATATGTATGTACTAATACGCGCGCGTGTGTGTGTGTATGTGTGTATATATAAATCTCCCACATATTCTTTATCTATTCATTCGTTGATGGACATTTGGGCTCTTTCCATAATTTGACAATTCTAGATAATGCTGCTATAAACATCGAGGTGAATGTGCCCCTTCCAATCAGTATTTTTGTATCCTTTGGTCAAACACCCAGTAGTACAATTGCTGGGTCACAGGGTAGTTTTGTTTTTAACTCTTTGAGGAACCTCCATACCGTTTTCCAGAGTGGCTGCCCCAGTTTGCGTTCCCACCAGCAGTGCACGAGGGCTCCCCTTCTCCACATCCTCTCCAACATCTTTTGTTTCCTGAGTTGTTCACTCTAACCATTCTGATAGGTGTGAGGTGGTATCTCATTGTGGTTTTGATTTGTATTTCCCTGATGATGAGTGATGTTGGGCATTTTTTCATGCGTCTGTTAGCCATGTGGATGTCTTCTTTGGAGAAAGGTCTGTTCTTCTGTCCATTTCTTAACTGGATTATTTATTTTGGGGGTGATGAGTTTGATAGATTGTTTATAGATTTTGGATACTAGCCCTTTGTCCCATATGCAATTTGCAAATGTCTCCTCCCATTCCGTAGGTTGCCTTTTAGTTTTATTGATTGTGTCCTTTGCTGTGCAGAAGCTTATTATTCCTAAAGAAGTCCCAGTAGTTCATTTTTGCTTTTGTTTCCCTTGCTTCCAGCAACATGTCTAGTAAGAAGATGCTACGGGCCGGGTCAGAGAGGTTGCTGCCTGTGTTCTTCTCAAGGATTTTGATGCTTTCTTGCCTCACATTTCGGTCTTTCATCCATTTGAATCTATTTTTGTGTCTGGTGTAAGAAGGTAGACTAGTTTCATTCTTCTGCGTGTGGCCATGCAGTTTCTCCAGCACCATTTATTAAAGAAACTGTCTATTTTCTATTGGCTATTCTTTCCTGCTTTGTCAAAGATTAGTCGACCATGTAGTTGTGGGTCCATTTCTGGGTTCTCTATTCCGTTCCACTGATCTGTGTGTCTGTTTTTGTGCCAGTACCGTGACCACAGCTTGATGTTCACAGCTCTGTAATAGAGCTTGAAATCCGGCATTATGATGCCCCCAGCATTGGTTTTCTTTTTCAACATTATTTTGGCTATTCAGGGTCTTTTCGGGTTCCATACAGATTTTAGAATTGTTTGTTCTGGCTCTGTGATAAATATTGGTGTTCTTTGATAAAGATTGCGTCGAATGTGTAGATTCCTTTGGGTAGTATAGACATTTTAACAATATTTGTTCTTCCAATCCATGAGCATGGAATATTTTCCATTTCTTTGGGTCATCTTCAATTTCTTTCAAAAGTATTTTCTAGTTTTCAGAGTATAGATCTTTTACCTTTCTGGTTAGGTTTATTTTTAGGTATCTCACGGTTTAGGGGGCAATTGAAATGGGATTGATTCCTTGATTTTTCTTTCTGCTGCTTTGTTATTGGCATAGAGAAATGCCGAAGATTTTTGTATGTTGATCCTGCGACTTGGCCAAGTTCATGTTCTAGCAATTTTTTGGTGGAGTCTTTCAGGTTTTCTATATAGAGTATCATGTCATTTGTGAAGAGTGAAATTTTGACTTCTCGCTTGCTGATTTGAATACCTTTTATTTATTTTTATCGTCTAATTGCTGAGGCTGGGAAGGGAAGCATAGAAATATTTACAGTGGTTGCTTCTCGGTGCTGACACTATCCGTGGTTTGTATTCTATTTTTCCTTGTATTTTCCAGAATTTCCTTAATGAAATTCATTGCTATTTTAAATATCACTCAAAAGCAAAATAAACATTGGGAAAATTCAAACTACAGAGCATCTACAGGAGGTAATAAAAACATTTGCAAGGGACAAAATACACTTAAGAACCATGTTCCCAGCCTGCGTGCCGAACCTCGCTATGGAAGATACAGGGAAGAAAGAGTAGCTTCTTAATACAGTGTCAGCTCTTCCTATAAGTAAATACTGCATAAAATACTATATAAATATATAAATACTATATTTGCCAGTATTTCACATTAAATTGAAAGACTTCAAGTGCCGAATGAACAAAATGAATCCTGAAATTATTATTTTTAATGTTTTCAAAGGACAATCAGAAAGGAAATTTCCTGCTTGGGTACTGCTTTTTTTTTTTTTTCCCTCTCCTTCACATTTTCACCTAAGATTTCCTCTTGGTTTATTAATAGGTCGAGCAATACCATAATGTCATTTTCCATGGCCCAGAAGGAAGCTTGCAAGACTACATAGCACATCAGCTTGCACTCTGCATGAAGGTACCCGTTGCTTGCATATCCTCTCCTTTTCTCTGAGAATTTGAAAGCATGTAGAGAACTAATCACTGATTCCTTATCACAGCACAGACAAATGGCTGCAGGATTCACCTGTGAAATAGTGAGAGCCGAAGTGGATGCTGGTTTCTCCAAGGAACAGCTCGTAGACCTGTTCATCAGTAGTGGTAAGACCATTCCAGCAAACTGAATTGTCATAACTGAAAGGGCATGATCTTCAATGATGCTGTTGAAAGGAAATAAGGAAATAAACTTTCTCTCTTGGGGGGGGGGGCAGATTTAGGGTGACTTTTCAATTAACAGTGTTGGGATGAAAATGGGGAATCCAGATGAACACACAAAAAAATTATTTTCATGTATCTGTCATTGCATTTGTTGCGCATCCTACGTTCTCTTCTTTTTCCTCCCATCTTTTGTGTACAAATCATCATCTGTTGTGAACATACTATTTAACTGGCACCAGAGGTATACTAAGGGAGGAGGGGGTGTTGGGAGCCACCCACCCTTGCAGGACTAAGTATTCTATCAGTGATGCTGTTCAGAATTGCATGGTGATAATAAGAAGTAGATAGGTTTTTAGTAAATGATATTATTCATAGATTTTCTACCATCAAAGCACCCCTCATTGAAGCACCTGAATTAAACTTTCTCCAGCTAACCATTGGCGTGTCGCTGACTGGCGCTTTGCTAAACACACTGCGTGCATTCATTAACTCGTTTAATCTCCACAGCAGCCCAGTGCATGTAGGTGTCATTTCTGTCTCAAACATGAGGAAAGTGGCACAGAGGGGTTTGGTATCTCACCACAGCTACAGGGGGGGCAGAACCAGGATTAAATACGCTTATTAATACGACTTCTTCATGCATTTTCTATCTTAGTTAGGCTCCAGAGTCCACCACGTTTCACCCCAGGTGGAATTAGCATACCCTGCATAGCACAGTAGGACTAGCAGCTCTGGCACAAAACTCACATGGACTGGACTCCAGTCTCCAAGAGCTCAAAGCTGCAGGGACCCCTGGGGAGGGGGTGCAGTTGCAAGATCAGTGATAGATGAGCTGAAATGCACATTTAAATCTTTTAGGTGTTTCTCATCTTTGGAGCCACTGATCGAGGGAGATAACCTCGTGGCTAGGTCAGTATTGGGAAGGAGGAAGTGCCAGCAGCTAGTAAGTCAAGAAATAGAGTTAAGAGGCAGGCTTGGGGAGGGACTGAGGGTTCTAGGCCCGCATTTTAAGGACAGGAAAATCCCACCAGAATCGGCATAGGATGATGGTGCTTGAGTTAGTCTTTGTTCAGAAAGTAGTGAAAGCTGCAGAAGGCTGTTTTCCCTGCTGCTGTTACTAATAATCACTAACATTTATTAAGCTCTGACTCTGGTAGGCCCCGTTCGAAACACCCTGATTTATAAACATGAAAAAATCTGAACCAGGAGGTTAGAGTACCCTGACCAAAGAACCCTCTGCAAGGACACAGCCAAGCAGGACTCAGACTGCTGAGCCTGTCCTTCATCACTGCCAGCCGCTACTCCGCAGGAACTCACCTGTGCCGAAATTTCTATCCCCCTATCCCCCGCCGCGCCTTGGTCTTCCAACAAAAGCCCACTACATTTTTTTCCCCAACGTTCAGTATTGTCTTACCTCAAAGTAAGAAGCTGACGTATTTTGTTCTCACCCTGTCGCAGCAGATAGCAGTTACAGATTGAATTCTTCTCTCTGCTCTGAGCTTAGAGAGCTAAGAAAATTAGCAGTGAATGAGGTCGTAAGGATGGAGACAGCACAGCACTGCTAAACCTGGGGGAGCGTCTGAAGCATTCCTCCTCCTCCTCCTCAGCCTCTCCCACTTGAAACTCGGGCTTGTCAGCAGACTCGACAACCTGAATGTCCACAGGGACCAAGCGACCTCACCGAAGGGGAAAGGCGGCGGGCAGCGGGCGGCGGGAGCCTTGTCTCCATGTGCAGGAGGGCAGCAGCTCTGAGCTGCAGCAGCTGGTTGCTGATGGCACGTAGATCCAGTGTCATGTGGTCTTGTGACTTTTAAGAAGTTAGAAATCCCTTTTTATGTGAAGATGTCAGATTTTCTTCCTTCGATGTTGGCACTTATTTCAGTTTTTAAAGCCAAATGAGGACCATGTAGAACTCCCAGATCTCCCCATTCATGGACACCCCCATCTTTGTCCCTCCTGGTCCACGGTCAGGTCCTGCCAGACGGGTCCCAGGCAGGCCTCTTTCTTCCTTCCCGTTGGTACCATCTTACCTTATGTCCCCTCTGCCTGTATCTCTTCTACGTTCCCGTGCATGGCTACTCCGCCTACTGCTTCTCCTCCTCACACATCCTTCACGGGCTGTCGGACCCTTAGGTAAAAGCTGTCTGTGATTCCTGCCCTGCACACGCTTCTATCGCCCACTGAACTAAGCGGTTCATTGGGGCCATTCAAGGCCTTCCATTCAAGGACACTGATCCACCTCATTGGCTTATCTGACCCTTTATTATATTTTTTTAATTGAGATATTATCGAGACATGCCATCGTGTGAGCTAAAGGTGTACAGCATGTTGATTTGATACACGTCCATATTAGAGTAATTACTATACCATTAGCTTGTACCTCTCCTACCTCACACAATTACAATTTTCTTTTTGTGGTGAGAACATTGAAGGTCTGATTTCTTAGTGACTTTCAGGTATGTAATACGAGACTGCTAACTGTGTTTAATGTACTCACCATGCAGTACATGAGCTCCCCAGAACTTACTCATCTTATGTAACTGGAATGTCGTATCTTTTGATACCTCCCCCTTCCCCTCGCCCTGGCCCCAAGCCCCTGCTCTGTTTGCATAGGTTTGGCTTTTTTTAGATTCCACATAGACCTGACATCATGCAGTGTATTTCTTTCTCTGTCTGACTTAACTCTTAATGCCCTCAAGGTCCACCACGTTGTTCAAGATGGCAAGATTTTCCTCTTTCTCCTCGAGTAAAAAATATCCCGGTCTACGTATAGACCACATTTTCTTTATCCATTTATCTGTTGACACTTAGGTTCTTTCCATATCTTGAGTATTGTGAATAATGATGCCGTGACAAAGTGGGTGAAGATTACCCTTTGAGATCCTGATTTTGTTTCCTCTGGCTGTATACCCAGAAGTGAGATTGCTGGACAATGTGGTATTTTGAATTTTTTGAGGAACCTCCATACTCTTTTCCATAGCATGGAAATGCACCGACTTACATTCCCACCATCCCTGCTCAAGGGTTCCCTTTGCTCCACGCTCTTGCCAGAACGTGTCATCTCTTGCCTTTCCGATGATATCCATTCTGACTGGTGTGACGTGATATCTCATTGTGGTTTTGCTTTGCAGGTCCCTGATCATTAGTGATGTAATGTATCTTTTTTTGTGTGTGTGTGTGAGGTATCTTTTCACGGACATGGCCATTTGCATTTGCAATGCCGTCTTCAGAATCGGACCCTTTTAAAATAGATTTCTCCACTCCAATAGAATATGCTGTTTCCTCTTTACATGTCCTCTGTTTTTCTACTGTCCAGTCTCTGTTCACGCTGCAGCTGTCATCTAATGATAAACAAGCATTCCCCACATGCATTGTGCCTACCAACATGGCAGGTGCCATGCAAAATGTTAGTCCAGTACTGATCAAAACAGACATGGTTTCTGCTGTTTTGGATCTACAGAAAAAGCCCCTGTTAAAATTCTCTAAGAACCCCTCACATGCAGGCTTCTCTCATCCCTCCAGATACGATTTGTCCCTCTAATGGGCATCAGTAGACTGCTTATGTGTCCACCTGACTATAGGTCAAGGTGGTGTGGGGAATATTTGAGCTTTGGCCGAGGCCCACGCACACAGGGTGAGCTCCTTGTAGGCTAGTACTGTACGTTATTCTTCTAGTTTTCCTTGTACACTGATAGCTAGTAAGTTTTGGCTGTATTCACCCACGGTGAATCTCCTGTTAGAGGAAATCGCGCAGGCAAAGGCAAAGGGAATGCCTGTCATGTGTCCTCTTCGGGTGTCCACAAGTAGAAGCAGCTCTTAGAGTGAATGTAGAAGGAGGTAAGATGAGAGAGTGCAAAAGTTGATGGTGGAGAAGGTGACGATAGGGCATAAAGATAGAGTGGTTCAGAGTTTTAAAAAATGAAGGTTTTGGACAGACTGAGCCAAAAAAAAAAAAATCCCCATTGTAACCATCCTCTTGTGTAGGAAGTGGTATATCCACCTTTAGTGGGAACAGAATTTTATTCTCTATTCAGCTCAGTAATTTATAATTATCAAATACCTTTTTTCTTTTTAATAATAAAAGTAAGATGCAAATGCAGATTCATCTGCTAAGATCTTTTTTTAAGATCTTATTTACTTATTTAGAGAGAGAGCACACGAACGAAGGGGAGGGGCCTGGGGAGGGGGGAATCAGGTTCCCCGCTGAGCAAGGAGGTCCATCCCAGGACCCTAGGATCATAACCTGAGCTGGACACAGACGCATAATGGACTGAGCCCCCAGGCGCCCCCCATCTGCTAAGACCTTAAATGCAGCAGCCCCAGGAGGGCACCTGAGCATTGCTGCGCATTCCTCAGTGTGCCTAGTTCTCTGTGCCCAGTCAGCCCTGAGTTCTGCTGAATCTGGTCCCTGTCTCCCATTTCCACCTCCCCTGCTCTTCCCCCTCCACCCGTCATTTCTTGCTCAAGGGACTATGGAGACCTCATCCCTAACCCTTCTGATCTCCTCCGGTCCCTCCCTCACTAGGGTCTGCAGCTCCCACTGGGTTCCTTGCGCAATGCAGAGCTGCTCTTGTCATTTCCCTGCCTTTACACGCAGGTGGCTGCAGGACAAACAGTACAGTTCTCTGAACGGATGTCAAGAAGCTTGTAGTCTGGCCCCGGAGCTTCCCTTGCAGCTGTCCGTCCTCATCTCCTCGAACTCTGTCCATCATGCCCATCGTGTTCTCCCTAGGACCTGCTGCTATTAACTGGTGACTGGTGGAGAGCTCGTGGAGAGAACGCCCTGCCTGTTGAGTAGAGTAGATGGGGCCACACGGCTTCCGGGTAGGGCAGAGTAATCTCACGGGAGCCAAAGGGAAGAGTCGTCGATGGCTGTGGGGTCACTTCTGCAGGAAGCGCATAACAGGGAATGTTCTTTTGGCCAAGAAGTGATGAGAAAGGGCAGAGAGTAGAGGAGTCAGAGGTCGGGATGAGGCAAAAGGTGTTCTGAGGCTCTTCCGCTGCAGTTTTTAGAATACTGAAGAAATACGAATCATCTTGCATTTTTATCAAGTAATTAAGTTGATCAAATCCTATTACTATAAGTGAAGGATATACCAATTTGTAAGGAATACATTTATTCCTGGCTTTTAACCTACATTCTCTACAAGAAGAGATTGAAACTACTTGAATGAGGCTGGGCAAGGATGCTGAACTTTGACCTTCACTATGCACAGAACACATATTTGCTCGTCTGCATGACGGCAGAAGAAAGCAAGCGGAGAGAGTCACGAGAATGAATAAAAGAAATACACGAGCAAAATATATATAAAGGAAGAGTAATAGATGTGTTTTAAATAATTAGCTTTAAGGGGAGGCCTGGGTGGTGCATTCGGTTAAGCATCTGCCTCTTGATTTGGCTCAGGTCACGACCTCAAGGTTGTGAGCTGGAGCCCCGCATGGGGGGGCTCCGTGCTGGCCATGGAACCTGCTGAAGATTCTCTTTCTCCCCCTCGTTCTGCTCCTCCCCCTGTGCTTTCACTCTCTATTGCTCACTCTCTCAAAAAAGAAGAAGAAGAAAAAAAAGAACCTAAAACTTATATAGAGATTAAAATGGTTCCCACGAAGAAAGGAATATGGAACAGAAAAGCACATTTAAAATAAAACACCTAGCACTGACGTAACCAAGGGTTATTTTGTGCTTATTTTAAAATAACATAGTCCTAAAAAAAAATTAAGAAAAATAACATCTTCCTTTTCGTCTTGCCTTTTGTGAGAGGTCGTCACAGCCCACGGGCCCTGTTGTTTGCTAAAGAGGGTGTGAATGTGTATTAGAATTGGGTCAAATTTTTGCCTCAGTGTAAAGTACGTAGTTCGGTCAGCAAGACGGATACTTTTTAAAATTACATGTGACAGTAAGTAGTAAAAAAAAAAAAAAGTGATTTTGAGCACGAGATTGGTATGTTAAGGTAACACTTTGAATTCTTGAGAGGACTTTCCTTTTGGGAAGTAATAGAGGTAGAATGACCGAAATAACAGTAGGGGAGTGTGGTCATTAGAGAGCACATAACTGAGTTTAGCCCCTTGGGCCCTGCATGTCCTGAAGCTCTTCGAAGGCTTGCGCCTCCTCATCTGGGCTCGGAACCTCCGCCTCGGAGAGCCTCGGGCTAAGTGGACGGTGGAAGACAGGCAGGCCGGGAGGCGGTGGACTTGTGGGCACTTTAGACACAGGCAAGTTTGGATTTAGCTGTAAATGTAATAGCTTAATTATTCTTAAACCATCGAATGTTGCCCTGGAACAGACTCCCCAGAATCTTTAAGACCAGTGTGTCCAGCACTGGGCTGTGGCCCCGAGCCTAGTCCAGGAAGTGTGTGATCACGATCACCAGTGTGCAGCAGAGGAGCCAAGCTGATAAAGCCGGTGAAACTGGAAGAAATAAAAAAAAAAGGACAAAAAGAGTAGCTTCATTTCCAAAATAGAGCTTTGAAGAAGCTTAAGGTAAGGGAATGGAGCTGGCCGGCTTTGTGGCAACAGGTTAAAAGAAATCTCCGGCCACAGCTGGGGCGTGGGTCCCCGCCGGGCCGTCCCCGGGACCAGAAGGCCTTCCCCTTCCCCTACCCCGCCGCCCGCGAGGATGCTGCGCCCGGGGGGCAGGTGCATGTTACAGGCGCCGGGGCTGCGTGGGCTCGGGACGGGCGGTGAGGCGGCATCGCCTGGGGGGCCGCACCTGCTCCCCGGGCCCGGGGAGGCCGACCCCCGCGCCCGCACCTGCCCGCTCCCCAGCAGGTAGAAGGGGTCGGTCGGTTCATCGGTCGTTCAGGGAACTCTCGACCTCCCCTCCTTCCACCACGAGTGTTTCGGAAGGGACACCGAGGGCCGCGGGCAGCGCTCCCCCGGGGGCTGCGTGGAAGGGGCGGCGCCCGCAGGTGCTCCAGGCAGGCGGCTCCGGGGCTGCTTCAGGCCCGAGGAGATGCAGGAGATGCCCACCACGTGCCAGGGACCCTCGGAAAGCGCGGCTGCGTCGTGTCTAGCGTAACGAGGCGGACCGGAGTGGAGTCTATTACTTACCCTGAGTATCTGTGGGAGGCGGAATACTTGGTAAAATGACGCTCACGTGTTTTAAATTGATCTCTTTTTCTCAAGGTTGATTTGGCTAGGACTGAGGGATCTTGGAATCTTAAAAATGAAGGAGCGATTTTAACTTGTGATGGATTTACTGGTGTGTAGGCAATAGTATAAACGTCGTAACTGCAGTACGGACGTTTGAGTGCTTGGTAGGTGCTCGGCACTGTTTCAAGTACATTCTGTCTACAGACTTCCTGGTCTCCTACGTACACCCGTAACCTTCCATTTTCTTTCCATCTCTCATTTTGAGTCAATATGCAATTTAGTGCCGCCTTCTTCAGGAGGAGGTCCACTAAGGCAAGATTAGAAGTCCCAGGGCACCTGGGTGGCTCGGTCCGTTAAGTATCTGACTCCTGATTTCAGCCCCAGGTCCTGATCTCAGGGTCCCAGGGCTCAGGCCTGTCTCTCACCCACTCACACGGACACACACATACCCACTCTGTCTCTTTCAAGTAAATAAATAAATCTTAAAAAAAAAAAAAGGAAAGGAGGAAGGAGGAAGGAGGAGGGAGGAGGAGGAAGGAAGGAAGGAAGGAAGGAAGGAAGGAAGGAAGGAAGGATGGATGGATCAAGTTCTAGTCCTTCCTGACAACTGCTGTGAAACCCTAGCCCAACCACCTTAACCTTTCTGAGGTCTGTAAAATGAAAGGCTGGATCTGCTTATCTCTCTGAGGTCCTATAATTTTATTAATTATTTCACATAGGTGTCATTTAAAGATCATTTAAGGGGATTCCTGGGTGGCTCAGTGGTTTAGCGCCTGCCTTCAGCCCAGGGCACGATCCTGGAGTCCCAGGATCGAGTCCCACGTCGGGCTCCCTGCATGGAGCCTGCTTCTCCCTCCTGTGTCTCTGCCTCTCTCCCTCTCCCTCTCTCTCTCTCTTTCTCTCTCTCTATCATAAATAAATAAATAACTCTTAAAAAAAAAATAAAGGTCATTTAAGGGTTTTTGACCTTTTGTATGAGGAAGTATACATCCGTAAAATACATACTACCTATATTTATAGGTCAATGAATTTTATTTGTAGGTCGTATGTATTTGAGACAGGGCACATGGAAGAGCACAAGGAGGGGAGAGGGAGAAGCAGACTCCCCGCTGAGCAGGGAGCCCAAGGCGGAGGCTTGATCGAGGACCCCGGGACCGTGATGACCTGAGCTGAAGGCAGACGCTTAACCCAATGAGCCACCCAGGCACACCCCCCCAGGGAATAATTTTAAATAACCACTTAGGCACCAGCCAAGCCAAGAGAGAGCTTGTTCCTGGCTTCTAGGATGTGGCGGTGTGCCCCGTTCCAGTTCACAAACCCTCCTAGAGGTAAACCATTAGTCCATCTTTGGTGAGAATCATTATTTTGCTTCTCTCTGTCATTTTACTACCGTTCAGTCCCTTTCCTCCCTTGTGGATCTCTATGTACTTCCTAGTGCCCGTATTTGAACTTCACGTGGCGAGATCCTGGACGCTTCTGTGATTTGCTTCTTACTCTGTTGTTTGGGACAGTCTTCCGTGTGGCCGCTTGTTATCTGCTCACTGTCCTGCCCATCCTATGAATATGCTCCTGTTTATCTAATCTGTTGATGGGAATCGGGGTTGGTCCTAACTGGGATCTGCTGTGCCACCGGCATTGGATCACTGTATGTGTGTACTTTCGACTGTATCAAACAACGCCAGACTCTTTTCTGGAGTCCTCATACTCTGCCAGCAAGTTAAGAGCATTCTGATCATGTCACAACTTAGCCAACACGTTGTATCTTCGGACTTCAATTTTTAACCAGCTCATAAAGGCTTTTTTTTTTTTTTTTCCCGTAAAAACTGTGATCCCTAAATTTTGTTTCTGACCACAGCTTGTCTGATCCCAGTGAAACAGTCCCCTGTTAACAAGAAAGTCATCGTCATCTTAGAGAATTTGGAAAAATCTTCGTTGTCGGAGTTACTGGGAGACTTCCTGGCACCTCTGGAAAATCGCAGCACTGAAAGCCCCTGGACCTTTCAAAAAGGTAAAGATAGTGCCAAGACCGTGCCCCCGAAGCCAGCTCCTGTGGGATTATGCTAATCCTTCTGTTACCCAGAGGAGGAGTTGTGCTTCGTATTCTTCTTTCTTAGGCTTCTTTTACTTTGTGTCATCACATGGCTGGCTGAGGTCGGGCCGTGGCTTTTGGTTTGTTTTAGGAAATGGAACGTCTGAATGCTACTACTTTCATGAAAACTGCTTTCTCATGGGAACCATTGCCAAGGCCTGTCTCCAGGGCTCTGACTTGCCGGTGCAGCAGCATTTCCGCTGGGTTCAGCTGCGGTGGGACGGCGAGCCCATGCAGGGACTGCTACAGAGGTTCCTACGAAGGAAAGTAGTGAATAAGGTAACAAACTGCAGCCGCAGCCTCTGCCAGGAGAAAGGGGCATCAGTGTCAGGGGGCCGGGCTGGGGTTCTGCTACTTAGTGACCGCAGGGCCTTGGGCAAGGAATATTCTTAGATAGCCAAGGGTTAAGTAAGATAATACATATAAAACCCAGAACAGTTTCTGGACTATGTTAAGTATAAAGGAGAAAAAGAGAAAAGCAACTAGGTTTTACTAGTGTCGTTATTAACCGTCCTCAAGGAGTCTCTCCAAGTTCTGAATGCTACAGGAGGCTCTCTTAGAAAACGAACCGCTTGTTTTAAGAATAGCTGCTGCTTCCTTGGAGCCTTCGAAACATTCTCCATCCACTCAAGCCAGTTTCAATGTAGGACTCTTACACTGTGCTAGAGCAAGTATTTAAAGGGCACGTGGAAGATTAAAATGCTCTCGTTTCTGACACGCTTTGAAGAGTAATTATGACTTCTGGCAATTTTTCTGGAATAAAATATTCTGTAGTCTCCCCCCAAAAAAATACCAGAATTAATGTCGACCAAATCTCGTACGTTGCTATTTAATTTTCTTGAGTCGAGCTAGTATCTGAGTGTCAAGATGGATTTGAAACACTAGAGCTTGAGTTAGTAAGACTTTGTCCCTTTATCCAGCACAACCGGCCACAGTTGGAGGGCGGCATCTATCACGATATTTTAAGCTATAAATAATAACACAACACCCACGGTGCTGCCTACTTCACAAAGAGAGGCGTTTTTTTCCCCCTCACATACCGATGTCTTGTGGTAGGTGTTGCTGACATCTGTTCACTGCCATGATGTCAGGTCCCAGTTCTGGGGGAGTCTCTGGAGCTCCCCTCACGATGGCAGGATGTGTGCAGGGCTTCAGGCGCCACACCCTGACTCAAGCATGTTCAAAGGCGGGAACCTGGATGCTAATCCAGGGGGAAAGAGGGCTGTGGCTGTCTCTGTCTGAGAGTCCACTGGTCATAAATACACGCTTTAGGCCAAAGCTAGGCCATCGTATGACGCCAACCAGTGGGAAGAAAGGTGAGGTAATGACAGTCACGGGTGTGTAGCTTTGCAAATTACTGATGTCTCCATTAATTTTATCATTAATATTTAAATCTCTTTGCCAAAAAAATTCACATAAATATCACAAAAGATGAACTTTATTTTTTTTTAAAGAGCAGTTTTAGGTTACATTAAAATCAAGAGGAAGGTACCCAGATTTTCCCAACACCTCTTGCTTCCATACATGCATAGTCTCCCATGTTATCAACATCACACACCAGAATGGTCCTTTTATTTTATTTTATATTTAAATATATTTTATATTTTATTTTATATTCATTTTATATTTTACCAAGGATGAACCTACACTGATAAATCGTAATCAGCCAAAGTCCATAGTTTAAGGGAAAAATATGGACTGCCTCATGAATCTGCATGTCATCCTTACACAGGGGCCGTGCTGATCTCTGCAAAGTCCCAGCTTTATTCTGTAGATGTGGCACTATTGCAGGTAAAATGCACCTCCCCCCACACACCCCGCTCACTGGCACATGTACACGTACTTTATAATGGATTTATTTTACTTTTAAAAAAGGAGCTCCAAGCTTCAAACTGTGCTCTTTTCTCCACTGTGTTTGAGAATGGGAATGTGGGGTGTGCTGTGAAGAATGGGACGGGGGGAGAGATGGTGCCTTTCACTTACCAAGAGCCCCTTCAACTAGGTTAATAAAACAGATTCCTTGGGCACGTGTGCAATGGAATGAATGACTCCTGCAAAACCTCCAACGTCTTACAGCTGCGGAGCAGGCCCAGATCTTAGGGGGCGCTTAGACCTGCGCTGGCACTTGATCACAATTTCTTCCTCCAGTTCCTGAAAGGAGTGCAAGTCAAGAGGCCTTTCAGGACAACACCGGGCCTCCTACTAGTCTTTAAAAAAAACAGTGATTATAATTGTATGAATAAGCAAATATTCAACTATCGTTAATTATAGTACATGATCTCATTCTTACCGGGAGAGTATCAGAGAGAGAGATACAGTCGGTCCTCTTTTGAACGGCAGGGAACTTGTAAGAGATCCCAGAGCCTCACGTAACCCAGGAATATTGTTTCAGCAGAGCTGCTGGGATCTCTGAACCACTCTTTTATTTTGATTTGGCCAAATTATATCCATTCAAGTAGGACATACCCATAGAAACTATCGATGGGTAGCGCCCATATTGCTAATATCATAATTACTTGGTAAAACAAAGATTTTATGAATCCCTTTCTTGTAAGACACTGAGTTAGCTGCTGTGTCTGTCTTCTAAATAATCGAAGGATGTTTCTCCTGATACTAAAGAAATCTTTGTCCTTTTGTGAACCCTCTGTACTAGAAAAAAAAAAGGGACTTGATTTTGTAGAGTATAATTCTAAAAGGAATTGCTGCCATCAAACCATGTACGTTATGTACTATCTTGAAAATTTTCAATTTATTTATGCCACCGGAGCTCTGTACGTTTCGATAGAGTTAGGGTGTTAGCTGAGACCTTCCTTCTAGGGCAATTAAAATCAATACAAGGTGAACCTGCCACAGAGGCAGGCCCCGTGAGGTACTCTGTGTGCATGTGGATCGTAATTTCTTCCAGAACTGATACTTAAGAATTTGTGTAAGGTTTCTTAGTCTTCTTACTGCTCCTAATACTTTCATTTTGCATAGTAGCCTGCAGATCTGTAGCTCACGGAACGCACATAATAGTGTATATTAGCTTTCCCTCCCTGAGCCACAAGTGGATCAGATCCAGCTTCCATTTTTGTTGTACTATTTCCAATGTCTATATTTTTTTATTTTTGAACTATTAAAAACAAAAGGAAAAAGCAGCGGCACTGTTCTAAGCCAAACCCCACGTCGGGCCTCTCTGTCTCTGTAGTTCAGGGGTCAGGTGCCCTCGGCCTGTGATCCCGTGTGCAAGACCGTCGACTGGGCCCTGGCCGTCTGGCGCCAGCTGAACTCCTGCCTGGCCCGCCTGGGCACACCTGAAGCACTTCTTGGACCAAAGTATTTCCTGTCTTGTCCTGTAGTCCCAGGACATGCCCAAGCGACAGTGAAGTAAGTGTCTTCTCTCCTTATTTACCTATTTAAAATAGAGCCAATTTGGAATGTGTGAGAGCAAGGGGCGCCTCACGTCCTATCAGGGGACGACCATGACTTGTCTGTTGTGTAGCTCCTAAGGAAGCTTTTTTTTTACTGAGAAATAGTAAGTAACAGTTTCCTTCTGGTATGAAAGTCTCTTCGGGGCACCTGGGTGGCTCAGTGGTTGAGCGTCTGCCTTGGGCTCAGGTCATGATCCTTGGGTCCTGGGATCGAGTTCTGCATCGGGCCCCCTGCATGGAGCCTGCTTCTCCTTCTATGTCTCTGCCCCTCTGTGTGTCTTTCGTGAATAAATATAAAAATATTTTATAAAAATATTTTTATAAAATATAAAATTGTTAAGAAAGTCCCCTCGGGGTCCTGTTGAACATGCAGTGCAGTGTCTCCTGGGAAAGGCCTACATGAGCCATTCATCAAGGATCCCATAACCGAAAACAAGCGCTTCCTCCTTGGGACCCCTGCGTGGCTCAGTCGGTTAAGCACCCGACTCTTGATTTCAGCTCAGGTCGTGATCTCAGGGTCTTGGGATTGAGCCCCACATGCTGGGCATGGAGCCTACTTAAGATTCTCTCTCTCCCTGTGCCCTTTCCCCCTGTGCTTGCTCTCCCCCTAACTCTCAAAAAAAAAAAAATTCTTCCTTTATTAACGAGACTTGAATACTCACTGTTTTCCTTTGTTACAGCTTATGAGAATAGACATATTAACAATAAAGTTAACGCAATAGAAAATCGAGAGGAAAAATTGCGTCGCAATCCAGCTTAGTAAGGTTCTGTGATTAGCTGTTAGCGTGGATTCTGTACAGATCCGGGGCAGAAATGCATTTTGGAAAGCAGGGGATACAAATAACCTGTCTTCGCTATGTCACTGTCCATTTCATAACCGCCGATTGCAGAAAAGGAGGAATTCTGGTCTAACACATTTATTCATACGATCACCTCTTTCTTCACCGGTATTATAACTAAACGTAAGCTTTTTTCACAGCCGGAGTCTCGAGATTCTTAGGAGCTAATTTGGGCCTTTCCTAACTGGAGCAGAGCCCCAGGCAACAGCTGGCGAGGCTCTGCCCTGAGCCGTTTACCCTCCTTGCAAGCTAAGCAGTTGGGCTGCAGAGGGGCGCGACCCTGGGTGAGAGGCCCAGGGCTTCATCACTCCCTGTGCAGCCCCGGCCTGTGCCCCACCTGTGGGCAGGTCTGCCTGGCGTCCCCGTCCCAGGTCCCTGGGGGTGATGCACAGTGGCCCCTGGATGCCAAGCTCCTGGAGGAGGGTGCCAGCAAGTGTGCCCACCCTTTGCCCTGGAAGGTAACATCACTTTTATTATCCCAGTAAGGAAACAGATCTGCCTCCTGCTCCAGAAGGAGACGCTGGCTCTCATTCTCCTCCAAGGCTGTTTGCCATACGCACGCTCACCTTGAAAAGATAGTCTGGAACGGAAGTGGACGCTAGATGTGTGCAAGTGCCGAGGGAGATTATCTCCCAACAGCCACGTTAAGGAAGCACTGTTTTGTTTTTTAAACCAAAGCTTATCATCTTCACCCCTTTAGCCCCTTTAGGAGGACCTGTGCAAGTCCGACTCCTGGTACAGAACACCAGGTTGTTGTCTGTAATCTCCTATGATAGTTTTTTTCTCTTGAATTATGTATCATTAGACATTAACAGAGAAGCTTACAAAAGACCCATGCCTGATACCTGGGTAAAAGCGTTAACAGTCTCGAAAGGCTCATGCCGACATCTAAGAGCTTTGGAAACTTTGTCAAACCCACAGATGGGGTTTAGGTTTCTACAGCCTTGAATCAAGTGGTGGTTTTTTTTGTTTTGGGGGGGGGGTTTTGTTTTGTTTTGTCTTGTTTTTTATGTCTCAACAAAGTATAATCTTTTTTGAAAGAGTTTTAATTGCTATCAGATGCCCCAAACTTGGTTAGTCTCAGTGCCACAGCTGTTACCGCAAAGGGGCACATGAGGAGACAGCTGGTGACCCGTCCCCGCTCTGCAGAGCTGAGCCCGCCCGCGTGCAGACACCGAGCCTTAGCCGTGGGGTGGATGGACAGGTCAAGTTTGCCACCAATTATAAGATCCATCCCAATCTCAGAAATATTCAAATATGTGTATCTTATTAAGGTCCTATGGCAGATAAGTTTAAGCTTTTTAGACATAGATTCCCCAGGAAATCGTTTTTCTGGACTTTTGCCTGTAACTTCACTTTCCTTTCCATGTATTTCATGTATGGCATTGATACATAAAAAAGCATTGATTAAGCATTGATTAAGTGTTAAAAAAAAAAAAAGCATTTATTAAGTGTTAATTCCTGCTCCCGATGATCTTACAAGGTGAAAGGAAAGAGCTACAGAAATCGTTTTCATTTGCAAAACATTGTATTTTTGAGGCAAAGCCAAACATCTTTGACATGGGATGATTCCATGTATCTCAAAACGACCTAGGAGTGTAGAGACACGAACGCTCTCTCCACGATCTCCAGATCCACCCGGTGTGGTGTGTGTGGTGTGGTGTGATTTGTGTCCTAACCGCGAACCGCCCTTCTCTTTGCAAGGTGGATGGCCAAGCTGTGGAACGCCATCATCGCGCCCAGGGTTCAAGAAGCAATATTGTCAAGGGCCTCTGTGAAAAGACCGCCCGGCCTGGGGGTGACAGCTGCTAAGAGCCACCCCAGCCAAGGACAGCAGGCCGTGGTCAAAGCTGCGCTCAGCATCTTGCTCAATAAAGCCGTGCTGCACGGCTGTCCCCTGCAGACAGCAGGTAGGCGGGCTGCTGCCGGGCCGCGTGGGGCTCCGCATCCGAAGGGGGCGCCTCTTTGTCTCTTCGTGAGCAAAGAAATAGTCTCCGCCCTAACGTACAGGTCACACCGTTGCCCCAGAGCACCCCCTTTTCTTAGCCATCGGCTCGGTAATCCCGGATCTCCAAGGAAAGCTCGCTGGGTCACAACAGCACCCCTGCTGGGGAACTCGGCGCAGCCGTGACTTTCGGAGAGTGTTTCTTGGAGAATCGTAATGCTTACATTTTGTTTGACGATGAAACTGCACGATCGCTGCCCCACCCCCCCCCCTTTTTTTTTTTTTTTTTTTTGGCAAACCACGATTTGTGTTGTTTCAGAGCTGGACCAGCATACAGCTGATTTCAGAGGAGGAGGTTTCCCTTTATCTATAGTCTCAAGTTACAACAGTTGTAGCAGAAAGAAAGAGAGTGGTGCCTGGAGAAGAGTGAGCACCAGTCCTCGCAAGAAGTCCGGCCGCTACTCTCCACCCTCCTGGAATAGGCCGGGCCTGAGCGAGGGAGGTAAGTGAGGCCGCCGTGCCGGCTGGAGGACCGCGGGCGCTCCTCGTGTGCTTGCCGAAGGCAAATGTGCTTTTTGCTTTTTTTTCCACTGTGCATTTGACAAAATTGAGTCTTTCAATTCATATTTTCATGGAATGAACAGGGTGTAGTAGGTACATTTCCAAAAATATTTGGGAGCGCCCTGTACATGGGAAATCGTTTATTTGTAGCAGCCACAATTAAGCAACAGTTGTGCTTTAGCATAGTTTCCTCCTTTTAATTTTTTGATGTATACAGATCTATTTGATACCCCGTTTAAGGCCTTTGTGAGTCAATCGTTTTTACACATTTTTTCATATGTTGTACCATGTGTCAGGTTCTATTTCACACCCTGCCAACTAGAGCAGAAAAAAACCCACAAAAATCCCTGCCCTCTTAGGGTTTACATTCTCATAAATTATTAAACAGATTCGTGGAACATCGTCTATAAAAAAAAATATGTAAGTTTTCATTCTAACAAGAATAAACACATTTATCTCTGGTGTTAGACATACACCGTTTGGCTTCGATAATAGGGTAATTGGTAATTATGCAAATTGTCTTACCTAAAGGAAATCCATGTTTGAGTAATTTTGAAAAGATGTTCCAACCTCATAGGCGCATTGTGGTTTTCTCATACATGTAATTAATTTTGGGTCTTCAGGAGCCCGTCCCACCCCCAACAAATTCTGTTATGTAGAATTTCAGGCCAACTTTATAGCAGCAGAGTTGCTATAGAAAGAGACTGTACCTAAAATCTTGAAAATTTTTTGTTCATTAGTGTGATCTCCTATGTAAAAATCAACAAAATATGGGCTTAATATTAATGCATGCTAGAGTTTTATAATTACCCCAAGTGTGTGTCCATAAACTGTGATTTTTTTTTTTAATGATTGAATGGAAAGTCACTGAAGAAAATGAGTTTTTACACCTTTTTAAGGTGATTGCTATGTATTTATAATATGACATTTCCTAAGAGCTTGCCATTACTTCCCAGAGGTAGCGTGTTTGATTCAGGGAGTAAAGTTATTAGAGGTCAGCCCCCTACTGTGGCATAGAGAATCCCGAAGTGACCTCAGCGCGAGGGTCATACCTTCCACCTGTTTATCCCTATATGTAATGCCAGAGAACTCTAAGAGGAAGATTATTCTCTCCATTTCCAGGGAACAAAACAGGGTCAGAAACTCTTGGCTGGCTGTCCCTGTCACCTCTCTTAGAAACATGGGGAGCTGCAGTCCATCATTTTGTCCTTTGCGAGGCCAGCGGTGTCTTCCTCTCTCCGTGCTATTCTAATCCCATGGGCAGGGAGTAATACCTAAGCCCTCAGATAGCAAGCACCCACCCAGGCTCCCCACTATCATTTCCAAGTTTATTACAATTTCTGTAGGGTTTAAGACGAGCCTCTTGCTTGAGCCAAGTAATTACGTCAACAATAAGCATCGTCAGTGCCTACTTGAGAGTTGATGAACAAAAATCAATCAAATGAATGTGACTTTAAAGCAACATTAAGTCAAACCCAGAATATTTTGTAAAATGGTAAAAGAATCAAATATAAAGTCATTTATAATTTTATACTTTTAGAACTACTTGGTTTATCAGGTACACCCTTTGAAACATGAAGTCCTGTTTGAAAGATTAATAAAATTTTGTGCAACCCAAGATATTTCATTTTTTATAGGTAAGTTTTCTTTTTCCCCCAAAAATTCGATTTGATATTACAATGTTTGCAGAGATGTTTTTTTTTTTTTTGACACCACTGTTTATCAAAATAGAAACCACTTTGCATTCTACACAGAGAATCACAGGGCGATCATAAATTTTGGTAAAGACACAGCCTCTTTTTCTCCCGACCTGAAACAGAAAAGCCATGATGTCAAGTCAGGCTTCAGGAGTCAGGGACCAAGCCCAGGCACCCGTATTGTAATTAGGGAAATCTGCTAGTCACCCTTTCTGATAAGGACGGCAGAAATATGGGCAAAGAAACTACATAGAGATTGTCTATGACAATGTATGAAATTCAATTTACTTTTCATTCTTTATTCTATTTTTATTTTCAACTTTTCAAAATCATTTTTTAGAGGTAATCTGTGCTAGCGATGTTCATTTATAAAAGCAGCGCCTGTGCAGGAAGCTACATCCACAGCCGCTGTCCTGAGGAGAAACACTCCTCGAGAGATGGATTCGGTCCAAAAACAAGATCAAAGTGCACAGTTCAGGATGCACAGGGACAATGATTCATTCTATTGAAAGTGATTACACTTTTCTTTACACAGGTATCAAAATTAAAGCTCTATCTCAGCTGAATTATAACAGGAATGCTTCTCTGTCGAAACAAAAGTAAGTTTCCCTTAAGACTATCAATATATATATAAAAAAAAAAGACTATCAATATATAGATTTTAAAAATAGAGGTCATTCACACGCCGGTTTAAACTGAAATCCAGTGAATGTGTAAGGGTAGGACAATTTCCCCTTGTACATTCTTTGGTTGGTCTAATGATCAAACTGACATAAGACAGATGACCAGGGGGACGCCTGGGTGGCTCAGGTCGGGGTCCCGGGATCGAGTCCCGCATCCGGCTCTCCGCAGCGAGTCTGCTTCTCCCTCTGCCTGTGTCTCTGCCTCTCTCATGAATAAATAAAATATTTAAGAAAAAAAATTACAAGAAAAATGAATTTCAGTTCATAGGTCTGGGAGCCCCAAAGATAGGAGACTCGAGGGCAAGTCGGGCAGTCGAGGCGTATAGTGCCCTCCTGAGCGAAGGACCTGGTGCTCCAAGGGGGAGGGGGCGAGTCACAGGACGGTAGCTCTTTCTTAAATTCTAAATTCTTTTAGGTACTTAAGGGAGAGGTAAAGGTTTTCCTTGAGTCGGCTGGGGCTTGGTCTTGATGGACGTCAGATCAAAATAACCCATGTGCCAAAGTGACACGTTGGGGTGGCATATTCTCTCCTTCACGTGAAATCTAAAGCTTAATCTAACTTCACATCAAGCCTTTTTTTGCTTCTAGTTTTTGAAAAGGTTAGAAATACTAGCTTCGTTTTTTTGTATTCAAACTTGATCCTTAATGCATTCGACGTAAAGAGGTAAAATTCTACATCTGTGGACTTTTAAACGGGCTTTGGATGACTGATGTTTTACACTGAAACTTGCTTTTAGGTGCTGTTTTAAGTGATCATTTTGTCATGTTGCTTCTAAGGGACTTGTGTCCACTTACGGATTTGGTTAACCGTAGAATAGAAACGTTTGGGCCGTGTATAAATAACAGCTCCCCACTGTATCCCGATAAATCGTGGGCCCTGTCACTTGACAAGCAACATTTAGAACCAGGTTCGCCGATTTGTAGAGAGCAGATCCATGAAGGCAGCCTAACGCAGGCTGCTTTCCGCCAGGCGCACCGCTAAACCCATTATATACGCCAGCCTGTGTCATTCCCCCAGGAACGCTGTAAATGCAGATAACCCGGAAAATAAAATACGACCCATGGCCACGTTGCTAGTGAGGAGAAGAGCCCACTTTAAAATTCCTGTTTGTTCCAGGGTAGCAAGCACACGGCCCCACTCCCCCATAGTGTTTCATGGCGTGGTTTCATCTAGGCTTGGAGAAGGGGGAAGAGACGGGGACAGCAAGGGGCCTGGGATGGTGTAAGGCAGGTAGATTTCTCCATAGGATAAAATCCTGAGTGGGAAGTTAACCAAAATCCTGGGAGAGTGAGCTGTGCCGTCAAATGACATTTCAAACTCTTTTAAAGGGTATTTTCTTTTTAAGATTTTATTTATTCATGAGACACACACAGGCAGAGACAATGGGCAGAGGGAGGAGAAGCAGGCTCCCTGCGGGGACCCGATGCGGGACTCGATCCCAGGACCCCAGGGTCTCGCCCTGAGCCGAAGGCAGACGCTCCACCGCTGAGCCACCCAGGCATCCCTTAAAGGGTATTTAAAAGCCCTTTTCCTGCCCCACACCAAATCCCCCCAAAGCTAGAGTCTGGCTCCCACCTTAAAAAAAAAAACAAAAAAAAACAAAACCCTTTTCTGAACTTTGCATTAGGTCTCTCGAGAATGATCTGTCATTGACCTTGAATTTGGAACAAAGGCTCTCTCTGGGTTCGGACGACGAAGCAGACCTCGTCCAGGAGCTTCAGAGTATGTGCTCCAGCAAATCTGAATCTGACATAAGCAAGGTAAGCGGGACGAAGGGGGAGGTCGTGGATGGGCAGCCCCAACCGAGGAGAGATTTCTTCAGGCCACATCATGACACACCTTCCCTGGGAGAAAACTTCCTGATTGAAGAGGGTGGGTGATGCTCCGACTCACCCCCTCCTTACTGGCCTAGGAAGCGCTCTGTTCCACAGCATCTTTCATATACTGAAGGAGTCCTAGTAAGTACGGCCTTTGTGCCTCCTCAGGGACCTCAGGTTAGAATCGCATGTTGATGGCATTCGCACCAATCACGCCAACACTGTGTCTCCCTTTTTGTTTTCCTAACGTTGCCGGACAAGCGCCCTATCAGTGAGTGCGCTTCACGGCAGGCCTGGGGTACAGACAGAGGGACGGCTACAGCTGTCCTCCGAGGGAGTGTGGCCTACGCAATGCATATAGTTAAGCTGTGAAAATAAACGGAGACCCACGTCCAGAAATCAGGGACCCACGAGCTCAGTGGCAGGGTCGGTAGCCTCGAGCCCTGTTTGGGCTCTGCTAGCTGCAGCGAATTTGCCCCGACTTCCTTGATAAGTGCCCTTTACTTGAAAGGGAAGATAAGACGGTAGTTAGAACGTGCGGTTTCCACCGAAAGACTCAGCTCTGACATCTGAACAGTCCTAATCTCTGGGACAAGAGCGAATGGACAGTCTTATCTAATCTCGCTGGAAATGAGCTGAAAGACTTACTGGAAAAATAAGGTAATACTTAAAATCTTACAATTTTGCCAGGACAGATTTTTTTTCCCCCCCTGTAGGGCTCATCTGGTCACCTTTGGAGTGTTTTCAATAGATCCTCCTCCCTTAGAGATTATTTCTTTTTTTTTTTTTAATTTTTTTTTTAGTTTATTTATGATAGTCACAGAGAGAGAGGCAGAGACACAGGCAGAGGGAGAAGCAGGCTCCATGCACCGGGAGCCCAACGTGGGATTCGATCCCGGGTCTCCAGGATCGCGCCCTGGGCCAAAGGCAGGTGCCAAACCACTGCGCCACCCAGGGATCCCCCTTAGAGATTATTTCTCATGCATTTTTCTGGTAGTTTCACGTAAAGGCTTCGAGTCTTTCTTGGGAACAGTACAGGACTTGAGGGTGTGCTTGTAGAGCTCCCAAACAATTCTGCCGATTTTCTCTAGTGACCTTAAATTGTGTCTTCCAGATTGCTGACCCAGGGATGATTTAAGGAGGTTTGATAGTTCAGGAAACAGCCCTGCCTTTTCAGCAACTGTTAACCCAAGAATGCCAGTGTCACCAAAGGTAAGCGCCCATTTTCCCTGCAAAAATGAGACAAAAAAAAAAAAAAAAAGATTGCTGTGGAATTCGCTTTCCAGATCTTCTTTCGGTATGAATCACAAAATTATTTTTCAACCACAGCTGTAAGAAGAGGAGTGTGTTCAGTAGTTAACGAGGGTTAGAAAGATCACCGTTTAGATAACAGCTTGGAAGAGTGACTTAGAAACGCGCGTTGTGTGCCAAAACTAGATCAGATGTAACTTCCGTCTCGGTTGTTCTATTTTAAAAAGTATTCACTTGAGAACCTTTAAGATTTCCTGCATTTTATAATTCCAACAGGCTGAATAATGTAAAGATGTATCATGACGGGGGGGGGGGGGGGAGTCCTTTTTAGTCGTTTCTTAACTTGCCCCAACACGCAGTGGTTTCCGGGAGATGCTTTCCTTCTAAAACAAGTGAAAATGGCAAGTACAAGAGCCAGGATTCCAATAGACTCCGTTAACCTCTCAAAATAACTTCTATGATGGGTTAATAAATGCCGAGAGATGGCCCCGCGTGGTACTCCTGGCTGAGCAGAAACAATAAAGCTCTTTCCCACCCCGTGGTTATGCTGTGAGGATGCAGGTTTTTATGGTGAGAGGTGGCTTGCTCAGCAAGCCCCGCCGTGTGCGGTGCACGTCCGGTTCTCACCCACTCCCGTGGTGGCTGATGAGGACCCGGGGATGGGGGCGGCTTTGCAGAGAGGAGGATCCTAAAGTGAGCACCGTGAGGCTATTAAATATTCGTCATCCGCTCCCCGCAGCCTCTGCTCTCCCACCGCTTCAGCACGTCTCCGTCCTGGTTCGTGTTACGTGAGCTCTAGGTCCGGGGGGAAGGCGGTGGGAAGCATCGGCAGGGCTGAAGTCCCAAATAAAGATCTCTACCCAGGACGATCCGGGAAGAAGAGCGTGAGCCTTCCGGCTCCTGCTTATGCTGATGCCTGCCTCCCGACCCCTTCCGCAGGCGGGAACTGTGTAGACCTAGGGAGGTAACCGGTGAATTCTGGCTGGAATATATTTTTTGGTTGGGCGCTGTCCCCTCCTCTTGAACCGATTTCTGGGGCCTCCAGGACCGCTCTTTAGGGTTCCTCGTGGAACGGGCAGGCCCTGAAGTGCGGGAAGAACCACGAGCCACTGTTTCTCCACGGGGCCGAGTCCCTCTCCTACATGAAAAAAAAGTTAACTGGTTGGTAGTGACCAGCTGCCGTTGTTGAGATGTCAAGGTTGCGCACCCGTTCCTGGGACCTCACTGGTTGCCACGCCAAGTCCCTGCCCACAAAATAGAGAGCGGAGGCTCTGCTCAGAGCAACCGAGGGCAGCTTGGTTGTGGGAGACCTTTCAGAACGTGCGTCCTCTTACACCCTCTGGGCTCTTACAGAGACTCATGGGCTTGTCTGAATGTGCGCGTGGAGGGGCATCAGGACAGCTGCCTCCGCCGGCTCTCTGCAGCCCTGAACCCCGGGGTGAGCCCCCCACCCCCACCCCAGCAAGGACTAGCAGGAGGTGATCTCAGAACCTACCAGCAGAGGGCAAAGCAGCACACCTGACGGCCTTCTGGAAGCTTGGCAGGGTCCCTTGTTTTCGATCCTGATAACGTGGGCTAGCATTTCTTGGTTACATGCCCAGGGGCTTCCGATATCAGGAAGTAATTCTTTCTAAAGTAAGAGCTCTCTGGGTTCGTGGACATCGCTTTGGACAACCTTTGTCCCGACGGCACCCCTTAGCGCTGCAGCGGTTTAGCGCCTGCCTTTGGCCCAGGGCACGATCCTGGAGACCCAAGATCGAATCCCACCCCCGAGGTGCTGATATAATTGCTCTGGGGTGCAGCCTGGACCTCCTGGTGACCAGGTGTGCAGCCCGTGCTGAGACCCGGTGCTCCGGGGCGGCGTTGGTCCGCAGTGCCCCCCCCCCCCCATTTCTAAACATACCTTTGGAGCGGCCGATACACCTTCCGTAACTTATTTTTACATGTGATCCACTGTCCTCCCCGTGCTCCCCTCTAGTGTCTTCCTTTGCCCGCCCCTGCCCCCCGAGATCCCCAGCTGGACAGCAGCTCTCGCCTCCTAGTGGCGAGGCCCACAATGAATGAATCGCCCTGACGGAACAGCATCACCTTAAGAACTTAAAACTCGCTTTTGACGTGCACCACCTTTCTGCACCAACTAGTGGTTTCCCTTGAGCTTAATACGCGCACCATCCGTGAGTCGCCCTATTATGTCTAATAGAAGTCCTGGGGTGTAGCCCCGAAAGCACTGAGCACCCTGATTAAACACCCGTGGGCCCGCTGCCTCGGCCCATCCGTGCTGCGCAGGTGGCAGGAACATCCCTCCGCGGCCCCTGCACCCCAAGCTGCTTGTCCCTTCGTCTCCGCCCCCGGGGATGCACCCCTGCCCTCGCCTCGGGAGGCCGCCACGTACCCCCTTTCCTCCCTCTGGGCCCCGACACCAACCAAGGCAAACCCTGTGTCTGGATCCCCCCCCCCCCCGCTCATGGGTGCCGGGCACCACGCAGCTGTCGCCTTCATGGCAGCAGGCGGTTCCCTGTGAAGGTGATGCGTGTGGGTTTCCCGATGTTTTAGACCAAAGTACAAGTCGGGACTGGTCTTACCCGGCGTCCCATTTTGATTCCCCCAGAAAATCCCATGGCCAGCCGAGTCCACACAGTTCCTTGCCTGTTAAATCGTTTTTTTTTTTTTAGCTGTTTCCTTGGTTACGGGCCTGCTCGGCTGCACTCAGCGAGAGGAGGAGCAAACAGCACCTGCGTGGCAGGGAGGCGGGTGGCGCGCACCTGCTGTTGGCGGCTACGGACAGCGCGAGCGAACCGCGCGGGGGGGGGGGGGGGGGGGGGGGGCAGTGGTCCCCGCTCAGCTCTTACACGGGTCCTGCGCGGTTTTTGAGCATTCAGTGTTCAGTTTCTAGGAAAGCAGGAAAGTTAGGGGACACCCAGGCAGAAAAGTTAGGACACGTTAGGGGACAGTGGATTTGGGGAGGAGCTGCCTACAGAGACGGCAGCTTTGCCTAATCCAACGTGGGGGTTTCTCCGGGGCTCGAACCCCAAGAAGGTCCCAGACTGGCCCTTGAGTCACGGAGTCTCGTGACACCACCCGGGGCCCGAATCAAAGTCAGACGGCGGGTCTGCCGACCGTCACCCGTCCTGTCCTCTCCGCCGCCTGCTGTTTGCTCTTGCGGGAGAAGCCGGCGCTGCCTGGGTGCCTGGGTTGGGGCTGCCGCCGCGGGCCCGGGCCCACTTGTCGCCCCTTCTCTTGCAGGAGCTCAGTCCTCTCAGCAGCCACCAAGCAGCCGAATGCAGCAACAGGCAATCCAAGACGGAGTTGGGTGTTTCGAGAGTTAAATCTTTTCTTCCTGTTCCTAGAAGTAAAGCCACCCAGTGTTCCCCGAACACCAAAAGAAGCAGCAGTAATACAAGGCAAACCGAAATCAACAACAACTCAAAAGAAGAGATTTGAAACTTCCACCAAAAAAACGAACAAGTCGCAAAACCAAACCAACAGGCCTGCCTACAACAGTCTCACGCTTACCTTGTGTAGATTCCACACAGAAACCAAGGACAACAAGCTGTAAATACCTTTAAACGAAGAAACTGTTCTCACTGTAACATAAAGTATGAGTGCGGGACCACTATTCAACTTTTTTTGTAAAGAATGTATTTATAACCGACATTTTGTTGCCTTTTTTTTTTTTCTTTCTTTCCGATTCTGTAGGATTGAACTTCAACAGCCAAGAAGTGATGCCAACTTTTCAAGTAGTTTTATAATAGAAATACTGTAATAGTTTTAATCCACACGTTCAGGGGTATTAGAACCGTCGGCGTACTGTACATCTGTACATGTGTATATATGTATATTTAAGAAAGCCCACGAACCATATCCCCGTACACGTTGTAAAATGTACAACATTGGCTTTTAAATAGAGACCATGACTCCATGTTCACTTGAATGACTAGAATGGGGCAATAACCAATCATTTCTAAACAGTTACTTTCCATTAAAAGCCATATTAAGTATTTTGCCTGTTAAATTCTAGTTTTACATCTTAAATCTCTTACTGGTTACATTGCTGATTGGTTGCATCATGTATATTTATGCTTATGAGTTTGCATTATGACTCCTGCAAAATATGAGATTATATAATGCAATAAAAGTGTTATCTTTCTTACAAAAAGTTTTGTACCTAAGTGGATATAACTGCAAATGCTTCAATAAATTAATTTAGAGCTAACTCCCTCTTCTATTTAATTCTAGCAGCACAACTGATAAAAGTAGATAATATTTTCTGGAAGTGTTTCTTCGAAAATGACTAATGAAATTACATATGCAAATTCAAAGTTAAAATGCTTTGACGCCAATAAAATATTGAATTAGTGAAATAATTTGCTGTAGTTTCTCTCTGTAGCCCTTGATACGCAACACATTTGTGTTTGATTATAGAAGGTGTTCGCCTCCTGTTCACAGAAGGGCCCACCCTGTCGGCAAGTGTTAAACGTCTCATTTTTATTTAAGCGGAGCTCGAAGAATTAGGTGTTCAGCACACAAAGCATCTTTTTCTGTCGTAAATACCCCCAAAAAGGTAGGATTTTTATACCAGCAATTATCGACGCCTCTGAGAACATCAGAAGCCCTCCCTTGGCCGGAACGCTCTTTTACATGGACGTGCACACATGCGCGCTGATACTATAGTAAACTGCTGCTCGTACAGTGCGGTTAAGGTCGTGCCACCAGGGACGAATCAGAGAAGACGTTTCTAGGAGGGAAGAGCTCGACTCCCACACGTGTCCACCTCCTGCTTGGGCTTCATCTTGGCAAGTCCTGGGGGGTGTCCAGCTCTGAGCTCTGCACAGGGAGGTGTGCGGGGGGGCGGGGTGGGCAGATCTACAGAAGAGGCCAGGGGAACTAGTCTTAGGCCGCCACACAGTAACTCCTTTGCACTGGACTCAAAGTCTTAGTGCCCTGGTGGCGATGGGTTCTACTCTCAAGTGTTTCCACAAAGACACTGAAGAATGCTCTCAAAAACTCAGACCAGTACACCCAGATTGAGGTGGATGTGATGGGTCTCCTCCGGCTTACGTACACCTGCTTGGATTAGATCCATTTGGAACTCGTAGGCGTTGGGTTTTCTATTAGCTGCTTTTCTGAAGCTCAAGATCCCATTAGCCTGTCAAGCACCAGAGAAAACCAGATTCAAACCACATCATCCAGATGGCTCACCGGGTCTTATCCATGCAGCTTCGATTCGTCACTGACGTTCAGCGTGTTCACTTTTTATAACAGGACGGCAGACGGCAAGGTGTCTAGAGGGCATTTTTTTATATCAGCAGCTTTCAAGATACAGACAGATCTGATGGCTCATTCTATCAACTTAGTCACAACTAACAATTTTTTAAAAAGTGGAATGGGGAGTGTCACAGTACGTCACGGTGTCAGTCAACGAAAGAAAGTAAAAACAGTTTGTGGGCTTGTGTTTCTACGTAGATCTATATGTGCGTGGACCGGGCTGGGCTGTGAGGCACGGCTTTCTGTGGGTCGTGGCCAAAAATCTTCCAAAGTCAATACAATATAAGGGAGCCCAGGGGGGTGGCTTGGGGTAAAGAGGTCTTTTTTTTTTTTTAAGATTTTATTTATTCATGAGAAACAGGCAGAGGGAGAACAAGGCTCCCTGTGGGGAGCCCGACGCAGGACTCGATCCTAGGACCCTGGGGTCACAGCCTGAGCCCAAGGCCGAGGCTCAACCACTGAGCCCCCAGGCGCCCCGGGGTACAAAGGTCTGCCGGGAAGCCGCCCTGGGGCTGACCAACCCCGCTGCCAGCACATGTTCAAGGTAGTGGGAGGCCTGTGGGGCCTGCAGCCTACCTGCTCACCTTCACCTCAAAGGGACTCCCCTCACAAGACTTCTGTGAAGGTTAATGAGCTCCCACTCTCCTCCGTTCCTGAGACTCACTCTAAACGCAGGACAAGCCAAGGACCCAGCTTGGAGAAAGCATCTCGCACCCCCGACGTCGCTGCGAGCCACACACAAGTGGGTGCAGGGAAGTACTCACAAACGAGCCCCAGGTGCACAGTTCGCTTGGGTGGGGCTTAGACGGCGAGGACCGGCGAGGACTCTCCAAAACGCACCCCCTGGAGTCTCTCCAAGACTTGCTGCCCCCCTGGTGCGGGCGTTGTTGGGCTTCCTCTGGCTGGAGGTTCAGAGCTAAAGAAGCTGGTGCATCCACCTGGGTTCCCGGGCCTCGCTGCCTCTCTATTATGCACAACAAGCCATCCTATTTGTCCAGGTCAGCGGGGAGAAAGCAGAGGACTGGGGTTTACGAGGGTCCATAGTCGTAGAAGATTTGTGGAAGGAGAACTTCCAAAAGCCAGGCAATGTGAAGAATTCACCTAGAAGGAAACAGAATGCTCCACGCTCTGCCCCTTTTAATCAGTTGTAGGTAAACAGTGGAAACTCCACGCAAATGGCAGAGAAGTCTGTACTGAATGCAGGAAATCGGCTTTCTTCTTCAGGAAAAACTATACTAGGCTTCTTTGTTATCCTGCGTGACGGCACACTACAAGGGGACTAATCGGAAACCCTTCACCTACAGGTAACGTCCAGCATTAGAACTCCCCCTTCTCCTGCCGCTGTTTATGTACTTAATTAAAATTCCAAATTAAAAAAAAAAACTGCCCTGGGGCTGAATTAAGCACTGCTATTTATTACCTGTCTGGTCTAAGACAAGTTACTTAAATTTCTTTAATGCAGTTTTCTCAGCAGTAAAGTAGGGTCATGACAACCCTGGCAAGTAGTTCATGAGCGTTAAATAAGGTAACACAATCAAGTGTTCCTAGTTACCTCTTCCCTAAAACACGTCCTGAATCTTACAACCCTTGTGGCATTCCAACATCTTTTCGAAGTATAGTCAATTCACAAATAAATACCGGCAGCTCTATTACGAGCATCAGATTTTTAACTGTAAGTGTATGAAACGAGCGATAGACACGTAATTGGGAGTTTATAAAACATTAGCAATTTGCATTTTCCTTCTATGTTAACCTGAAGGTGAGGGCCTCCAAAATAGACTATTTGCAGTTGCTTATGTAAAAGAGAAAACAAATAGGAACTCCACAAAATCTGATTAACTAGGAAAAGTAGCCAGTTTTGAGAGACAAGGTTGAATTTTCAAAAACACCATATTTCTTTCTGTGCAGCTAATACTTAGCTGAAAATCAAGTGCAGTTGGCTAGCCCTCGCCATCCCTGAGTTAGCCACCGCTTACGAATAGTCATGGCCCACGGTCGGAAAGCCGATCTCTGAAGTCACCAGATACTTCCTGAATTCTATGCCACCCCTTTTGCAAGATCATTTTTCTCTGAGAACATCCCACAAGTATTAAAGGAGCAAATTAATTGAACAAATATCCTCTGTTAGTTTGGTTTTTACTATAAAGGAATATGTTTAGTTGCAGAGTAGGAGGTCTGATGAGTGTTAGGACCATGGAAATACATTGGGAAGAGAGATGCAGTTACCCATCGTTCTGTCTTAAATAGTGAAGATAACACTTGAATGTCAGGAGCCGTGACCTCAAATTCTGGCCACAAAGCTAAGAGGACCTTTTATTTCTCTAGGCTATAGTATCCTTTTAAAAAAAAAAAAAAAAAAAAAAGCTTTTTCTTATTCTCAAGAAGAAAGCACAACAGAAAATCAGAAATCCTGCTAGTCGTTCCCATGTATTGTGATACCTCGGTATTAGCTAACCATACCATAAAAACTATTTGGCTTATATTTTAAGAAAATCAAGAGTACATTTCTCCTTAGTGAACTGAAAAGTTTACATTTGTTCAGAGCGGCTTCAGACTTTATTCATTCGTTAAAGTAATATTACGTGCTAGGGACACAGTGTTAGGATGTGCGAGATGCAGCGTATTGGGGTGAGACTGTGAGTAAATAAAGAAACAAAACAACTTCGTATTCTGAATGTTTTGTAAAGGAAATCAGCGGAATGGTGGGATAGAGCACAGCTGGGCAAGGTCCTGTAGGAAGGGTTACGTTAGGGCAGACTCGTGCGAGGCAAGGTCTTCAAGGACCTCATATTGACACCTGAAGGATGAAAGGGGTGAAGGGACGTGGAGCCAGGGGTTACAGAACTGGCGACTCTCCTAAGGAGGTAACAGGAAGGAGCCCGAGGCTTGAAACACATTGAGCCAAGAGAAGAACTAACAGAGATGAAGGTGGATGCTGCCTGTGGCACAGGCTGGATTCCGCAGTAGCCTCTGGACAATGAGACGTCCCTGGGGTTTTTAGCAACTGTCAGGCATTTATATTTTTAAAAGACTGTTTAGAGAGATCAGTGCTGTCCAGGAAAAAAATGTATTTTTAGCCAAAAATGTGAGCCACAAACACATTTCTAAGCTTTCTAAGTAGCCACACTTTAAAGGTGAGATTTTAACAATACCTATGTAACGCCTACATCCCAAACATGATTTCAGAAAGTACTCAGTATCAAAAAGCATTGAGATGGCTCACATTATTTTTTCATTTTAAGTCTCTGGCCTACGCTAAATTTTATAGCAGCAAAAAAAAAAAAAAAAAAAATATATATATATATATATATATATATATATTTTAGATGGAAAAAAAAATCTTGCTGTCATCAGCTCTCTAAGAAATAACCAAAGAAGTTCTTCAAATGAGCAATTGATTCCTGATCAAAATGTGTACCTTACCCCCCAAAATGAGCAATGCTAGAAATGACATACGATATGTAGGAAATAAGACTTTTTATTTTTAAATTCTCTGAAAGGTAATTGTTTGTTTTTTAAAGATTTATTTATTTATTTATTCAGAGAGAGAGAGAGAGAGAGAGGCAGAGGGAGAAGCAGGCTCCATGCAGGAAGCCCCACGTGGGACTTGATCCTGGGTCTCCAGGATCACACCCTGGGCTGCAGGCGGCGCTAAACCACTGCACCACCGGGGCTGCCCTGTAAGGTAATTGTTTAATGGGAATAAAAGCGATCAATGAATGGAGCATATGACATAAACAGAAGTAAATGTTTGACAAAAGTACAAGGAATAGGACAGGATGAGAGAAATGGAAGTAACTGTGGTAAGGTTCTTACATTGTAGCTGAAGTAGTACAATATTATTTGAAGGTACAAGGTAATAAGTTAAATATGCACATTGCCAACTAGAAAAATGAAATTAAAAAATTAAAACTAAAATGTATAACTAGTCAAAAGTAGAGATAAAATTGGAATAAATAACTAATCAAAAACAGGAACCAAACACATTCTAAGAAAACAAACAAAAAAAAGCCCCCTAGGGTCACCTGAGTGACTCAGCAGTTGAGCACCTGCCTTTGGCTCAGGGTGTGAACATGGAGTTCCAGGATCTAATCCCACA